GGGTCTTAGGTAGAGGTGCAGGACACCCTGTTGTAAAACACCCAACATTCTTGTTTAAATTAGGTTTGGAGAATCTGGTTAAAATCTGGAAAACTTTAGTTAAAAAAAAAGAAGTTAGTTTTATTCTGTTTTAAAATAATATCTCTTGCTATGAGTTGTTTTACTTAGTTCATTTTTTTATTTTAAAAACTTTTTTGTTCTTCATTTTATAGATGTCTTGTGTTTTTAATAGTTTAAGAATAAGTTAAGGTTTTCGCCTTTTTGTTCCAAAAACACTAAATCGTATTTGTACTGTTTAAACATAAACTTGTTTCTCGTTTTAGAAAATCTCTTGCTATAACAATGTTTTAACTTAGTGCATTTTTTATTTTGTGTGAATAAATTACATTGATTTATATTATTTATATAATTTGTGACAAACAATTAAAATTAGTCAAATAATGATCTTACTGTGTTTTAGTAACTTTGTCATCCTGTTAATCAAAGAACATTTGTCAAGTCAAGTACATGGTAATGTTAGTTTTGAAACATATGCTTATTTATTAAAAGTTTCATCAAATTTTGTTTTAGACTTTAATTCTTTCAACATTGTTTAAACATATAACATGGTTTACATTTGAACATTCCTGCCCCTTTAGGTTTTAGGGGCAGGTTTATGGGCGTGGCCTAGTGCCAGATCTCATTTCATTCAGTTTTTCATCTGCAAAGAGTGAGGACACTAACATTTGGTCTCTGTGTAAGATAAATCTCTATTTTTCTTTAATAAAAAACTTGCATTTGCAAACAAAGTCTGTTGAGGTTAACACCTAACAAAAAGATTTTAATGTTAAACATTTAAACTATATTGTTCTAATCATTATATCTTTCTTCCAAAACACTATAAGTTACACTTTTTAAAAGTATTTTTATTCGTTTTTTTATTGTGTAGTTTAAAGAAATATTATTTTGAAAAAGCCTCTTTTCAGAAAATATCTTGCGATACATCTGAAAGGTTTTAACACTTCTTAAATACTTTTACGAAAAACATGGACTTTGTCAGACACTAATGTGCATTTAGACTAAGGCTGTATTACTTTTTAAGAATGCCTTATCAATTTTTAAATATTCCTAAATACTTTTCTAACTGAAAAACACCTGAAACTTATTTGTTCAGTTTAAAAACTAACATATAGTTTATCTTTTCAGAAAATCTTGTGATATCTCTGAAATGGTTGAACACTTCTTAAAATGCATTTTAAACACAAAACTTGTTTTGTCATATGAACTAATGTTTAATGTGTAATTAGACTTTTGTTAAAGGTTGTTAGACTTAAAAAAAAACAGTTTAACAATATTGAATACGTTGTGCAGTTTTTACTGAAAAAAACACTAAATTGTAATTATTCCTAATTATTATTATTTTAACATTTTTATTTTAATGTTTTTAATAGTTTAACAATAAGTTAAGGTTTTTGCCTTTTTGTTAAAAAACACTAAATCGTATTTGTACTGTTTAAACATAAACTTGTTTCTCTTTTTAGAAGATCTTTTGTTTTTTGTATTAAATTTTAACTCATTTTAACTATATACATCTTTTTAATGGTTTAACAATACCTTTTGTTCTAAAAAAAAAACCCACTGAATCCTATTTGTATTGTTTAAAAATAAACTTGTTTCTCTTTTTAGAAAATCTCTTGTCTTTTTTTTATTAAATGTTAACTCATTTTAACTATAGCCTATATTTTTACTGGTTTAACAATACCTTTTGTTCTAAAAAAAAAACACTAAATCGTATTTGTATTGTTTAAAAATAAACTTGTTTCTCCTTTTGGAAAATATTTTGTCTTTTTTATTCAATGTTAACTCATTTTAACTATATATACTTTTTTACTGGTTTAACAATACATTTTGTTCTAAAAAACACTAAATCGTATTTGTACTGTTTAAAAATACACTTTTCTCTTTTTAGAATATCTTGTTATAAAAAATTTTAACAGTATTTGTACATTACTTTAAAAACATTATTGTTTTGTCAAAAATATAAATTTTAACTAATTTTAACTATAGATACATCTTTTTAATGGTTTAACAATACCTTTTGCTCTAAAAAAACAAACCAAAAACATTAAATTGTATATGTAGCCTACTGTTTTAAAAAATAACCATACTTTAACATTGTTTCTCTTTTTATATCGCTTGAAATTGTTTAACAGGCTTAAAATACTTGGTACATTTTTACTTTACAAACAATTTTAACCAGTTAGACTACAGACGTGTTGTTTTTTTTTAATGGTTTTATGTTTTTTATGATGTAAATTAAATTACTTTGTTCCAGTTTGTATTGAAATCAACATAAAACATTTTTACAAGACTAAAAGAATACACTACATTTAGCCTACTATGATGACTTTGTGTCTGAGTAGTGTGATGAACAACTTTTCCTGAATAAAAACAACTTTGTCTTCTTACCAATACATTGTTTAACACTTTGAAAACGCCAAAACGTCATTTTGAAAAAAGAGATCTTTTTCGCATTAAAACGCCCCAGTGCTCCGTGTCACTGAAATGGAAGAAAAACGGAGAGATCTGAAATCCGAGCTGTGGCGGCCGACATGCGATAGGGCTATTTGATTGGGGCCGTTTCTCAATATCATGTAAGGTACACAAGTCCGCTCCGGTGGTGCATCCTTTCCTTTAAGTTCAGATTTTTTTTCCAAGTTTCTGAAAGTTTGAATGGGAGAACGAACTCTTGAGGACGCGATGACACCGGATAAATCTTCAAATGGGAAAGTGTAAAGTGTATAATAAAGTCATTCGCATCACGTCAGCGATCGTTGGTTCAATATCCTAACAAAATTATTGATCTTAATAAAATAAGACTGCCTCTTTTAATGATATTAACAGCTTAAACATATCGACACCAAAAATGTTATGGCATCGTGCATATTTATACCATCATCTTCAATGTAATGTTTATAACATTTTGTATTCTTTGACAAAATATGAAACATTGTTGTTTTGACAATATGTGTTTAAGTTTCACTAGACAACAGAGTGTGTGTGCGCGTATGCTTGCGTGCGTTGCCTGTATGTCCGTCTAAGAGTGAATAGGGAGATTCACTTTTAAACTGTTTTACAAAATAAATAATAATTCATTCTATCAAAACAAATAAATATGTTAAATGAAAATAACACATACTTATTTAAATAATAAATAAAAACTTACAAACAATCAAATCTCTTATAACAATATCATACTATTTTGTTTTTTATCACATAAATTCAATTGATCATAGTTATCAAATCATTTTCAAACATAGGCCTATTATTTTCATAAAACTTAGTAAACAAGTATTTGTGAAAAACATTTATTTGTTTAAAATGTTTTATTAACTAGTTAAATTGTTTTAAAACATTTTGTATTTTTATTTTCAGCATTGGTTTCAACCTAGAACCAACCCCCTTTCTGCCTTTTCGTGATTGGTTGGCCGAATCTGGGGGTGTGGTTAAAGGCGGGGTTGGAGGCGGGGTTACGTGTGTCTCATTGTTTTTTCATGTTTTAGTCATTCTGTATTTGACATCAGGAGAGAGTGGTCGCATTTTTGACTGCTCCCCCAGAGCAGTAAAAACAGAGGCGGAGTTTGGTGGGCGGTGTCTTAGACTCAGTTTTGTCATCATTTCTTCTCTAACAGGCAACAAGTGAGGATCTAAGTCCGGATATTCCGTAAGATCAACTAAATCTTTTTTTTTTCCTAACTTACTTCGTTTTCTTAACATATACTTACATTTTAAAAACATTTCACTTGCATTACTTAGGCTACAAGCTGTCGTTTTGTTTAAAACTATTCGACTCATTTTTAAAACCTAAAATGTGTTTTCATTACGTTTAAGAATTTATTTATTTATTTTCTTTATTTAATTATTTTTCTTAACTTTAAAAAAAAAAAAAAAACTTTTTTACTTGTTTCAAACGGTTTAAAGTCTATCTCAAATCTGGCTGTGTAAGTTAAGGGTCTATGTATGCGCGCGCGCACGGAGTTTTCACACCCGCTTTTTGACAGCTTTTTCTTCTCCGGAGGGAGAGAGAGACACGGAATAAACACGGATTTCGCTCCCCCGAGGCTCCGTAAGATACATCTCCGTTTCTTCTTTAACAAATACTCTTACTAACATTATTTACTCTACTAACAGTTTAATTCTAACATTGTTTTGTTTTTTGTTTTAATATTACGTTTTAACACTTTTTATCTGAACTAAACAAGAAAGACAGAAAAACGAAACAAACTGTCGGATTTTTAACATGTCAAAAAACTTTCATGTGAAAATGTACACCTTTTCTTGAAATAGAAGCAACCTTTTTATGAGGGTAATAACAATCAATCATCTTGACACAAAGTGCCCGGAAACCTCTCTACTTTTCAACTCAAAAGCAAAGATTTTAGATTCGCAAAAAATGAAACAAAACCGAAAGCAAAATAAATGAGCACACAATGCATTAATCTGGTGGTAACCGCATAACATGGCAATAGTTTATTTTTTGCAGTGTGAATTTTTTTAAATAAATGTTTTTTTTATCATTTTAAATCTTTAATTTTTTAATTTTAATTTTAATTGCATTCTACCTAGTTTTGGTCAAACTTCATATGTTTGTTTGAGTAATAGACACAAATTTAACCCCGGCATTCAAGGGTTCAAAACTTTTCAACTCACAAGCAAAATCTTTCAACCTGCAAGCAAAGATTCTAGATGTGCAATAAAAGACAGCAGAAAAGAGAGCAAAATTAATGAGTATGCAATGAAAATTGTGGTAATCCAAAATATTTTATTATCATTGGCCAATTTTTTAAAATTAAACGTGTTTTTTATTTGAAATCTTTAATTCTTTAATTACAACATACTTAATTTTACTTTAAAACTAAATATTTTTGATTGAATAATAAAAAAACATAATGCGGCTAATGACTTGTGATGGCTTTGGAGAGTTTAGATGTTGAAAAATACAGTTCTATGAATCACTAGTGGCTGCTTACCTTTTTGTCTCTTCTTTAGCACAAGCTGTCACCTCATCCACTGCAAATTCTGTCACAGATGACAGGAATGTTATTCAGGTTGACAATGAACAATGCCAATATGGCTGTTCATACTAAAGTAAAACATTCCTTTCAGTAAAACTTCAATACATTTTTGGTTTGTTTCCTTGTACTAGTTACAGTTCTAAAACCCTTAAAATAAATATCACTATAGGATAACAAATCCAGAAGACTTAGCAAAAGCCTTATCAACAACACACAGAACACTTAAAAAATAATGTCTATGTTTAGTTAACCATTAAAATAATGCACGATTATGCTGGATATTTCTTTTATTTAAAGGTTGTGCTCTAACAAAGTTAAACTCAGGTTAGTCTGGCTCAAAAAGTGGAGTATGATTCTTATATGTAAGGATTATTTTGAGTACTAGCTAACAGGACAATTCATGATCTTAACGTTACCTGTGCATCCAGAGTATCTGTCACTTTTATCGTCCTGCAAGCACAAGTGTGATAATCAGTCAAACATCATGCTCTAACATTACCTTATACTGTCATTACAACTGCAATACTGTAGTATAATTTGACAATAATTAAATATTCAACACTGTGAAATAAGACTAGACATATTCATGACATTTGACTGAAAATTAGCATTTTTTTAATCTAGAAAACTCCCTTATAAAACTAGAAATATTGTACTGAATTAATTTAAATTGTCTCTTGCATTACTGAAGAACAACATTCCTATTTTTGTGGATAAAAGTAAATAGATTTTGCCTGGCCAGAGGCCTGCTGCACGTGCAGGCCGCTAACGTTAACAATAACAACAATGATCAAAACATCTTGGTAAAAATATGCAGTCTGGCAAGAACATGAATTCAAACAATATTTCAAAAGTAAACGAAGATTATACGTAAATGTACGCAAATACAGTACACGTTTAATGTACAGTTAAATTGCAAAATCTCTTAGCAATTCCATTGTTTGGCTTAAAACGCGATCGTAAGAATCTAACTTTAACGTTACAGTTAAAGTTACCCGAACTAATATTATTGTCAGTTTGATACATTAATCTGTACTTTCTGCAAAGCAGCTTCGAGATTATGCCGATTATCAAAAGCGCTTGAGACATAAAATAACGCGATTTTTATGATATAATATAGTTGCAAACAATACATAAACATAAACATTCGAATATATTGAAGTGATCGTACAAATCATCTTACCTGTCCTTCAGACATGTTGACGTCTTCGCGATTTTACTCACAGCATCCTCTTTGACCCTGTCCTGCTGTGTTGCAGGTGTGTGTGTGTGGGGGGGAGGGGATGGTCGCGGTGGGGACGCAAAATCTCCGGTCACGTGTAATGTCACACTCTCCCGCGCTGCTTTAGCGCGGGTCGCCGACTGAACCGCAGTCTGGCGCATGCATACACAGCGGATGGCCTTCAGCAGCAATGCTGCACTGACAGCTCTAATGTGTCAGTCGAACTTTTACTCGAAATTATTCAGCTTATTACCCGAACATATTTGCTCTAACTAAATAAATGCATTATGGTTAAAGGGAATTTTAATAGCTTAACGAAAAAAAGTTATAATTAAGATACAAAGAACCCCCTTATTATTAAATGCTGTATTCTGACAACACATAAATAAATGGATCCCATTTAGAACTATTAAAGAATTCACAAAAAAAAATTCATTAACTATTACAAACACTTGTAATAAATAAAGGCATTCGATCCTGCTGTCAGGGTGTACATAATACATGTGTTTTATTATGTTTCCATTCATTCATTCATGTTTAGTCCCTGATTGGGGTCGCCATAGCGGAATAAACTGCCATTATGTGTCCATTATGTTTTATTATAATACCAACATTTGGTAATTTAACATTTTGGACCACATAAATGTATTAGATGTGATGTATTGACCATGCACACCTACATACATCCATTACTTTATTATTAAAAGGGAATAAACTACTGTTTATTGCAACTTATCTGAACATCATTATCAAAACTCTTTAATATATCCAGTCAATTTAATATGAGCATGTAATACCATCTAACTACATCTTTATGGTATTCTTTAAGGCAAACAGGCCTAAATAAATGCAAGGCCCTTAAAATGGTTTGTTCATCTTCAACTACTGATACCAGCACATCACAGGCCTATCTAATAGAAAGTGTGGCAAAATGAAATGGTTTGTGATAATATTCCTGAGCAGGTATAATAGCTTACGTGATGGTAGCTCCAGAGAGCCTCACAGCACCTACACTGCTCTTAAAGAGAGTCTAGCAGCAGAGCGAGTGAAGCAAGAGTGTGGAGGGGTTGTTGCTGGATCAGATACGTTTGTGGCCGGAAGTTAACGAATATGATTTATGTTATCTATTAAATTACCCAATAAATAGTATTTCATTAATGTCTACAACCACCCTAACCGTCACAGTACTGTAAAAATATAAATTATTGTTATACAGTGTCATAAAAAATGCTTCTGTATTGATGTGTATTTGCAGTTCCGGCCGGCCTTGTATCCTATCTACACTTTACTGTGTGGAGGGAGAGAGCTGACATCTAAAGATGGCCTCATACTGTAGGTCCATGAACCTGATTCTTCCTGCTAGTTTCAAATGATTTCAACACAACACCAGAAGTAACTGAAGTTGTTTACTGTTATTAATGTGTTATTTAAATGCACAGTTTATTTAGATACTTAGAAGTGATTGAAATGAAAGGTGTAAAACAGAACAGAAAGTGATTCAGAGCTGTTGTTCTCCTTGATGTCCTGAGAAACAGTCTATTAATTTTGAAGCTCATTAACGGCATCCTTAAAATAAAAGCAAACTATCTCTCTTTTCACACTTAGTTGTAATGTTCTAGACAAGGTCTGAAACCATGTCAGCACTTCTGTTGCTACTGCCTTCTCTTAAGCTAGATCCACCTTTAGGATGGCATAAAAGTGTCTTCCATAATTTAATACTCCCATAATTCTTGAAAGAATATACAGAAATCCTTAACTTAGAAATAAAATGTTTTATGTATGTAAATCTACTGTACATGTAAATTCCCATAGACTATTGTGATAAAGAGACATTGTTCATTATTTCCAGGATTTATGTAACCCTTGTGAGGGTAAAAAACCATAACGATTTGGTCCCTGTAGACATTTAACATTTGGAATCACAGAAGTCAATGTGCTGCTATGTTTATGGCAGAAGCCCATCATGTCCAGGCACCTGATGTAAGAAGTACTGGCCCTCTTGAAGCAGATGCTATATCCATTGACAGCTCTGCTAAAAGGACTAAGCTAAAACTTGTGTACTGTGATGACCGGTCCTGCACTTTGGCCTTTTTGCTGCTCCTTGTGTAACGCAGACACTATAGCATGCTTGAATCAGCCATTGCCCCTATACTTGCTCATTCCCTATAGCAGCCCTGTCTTGATGCTGGAACAGGTTTTTAAACTTTATTCAGATCTATTTATTTCACATTGTTCACATGCTTAAACTTCACAAAGACAGATGTAGCCTACTGTAGCCGACCAATTCAACCTAACAGTAGGTCAAAACTTAATTTTTTGACCCATGTTTATTAGTAACATGGTTCAGCCGGGCCAGGTATATTCTGTTTATGTTCTGTGTTCTCGCATCATTCATTCTTCCAAGCTAACCTGGCTATAGGTCTCCATAAGGACACAAGTCTGTTCTCTGTGTTCTCATTTACAGTCAATAGTGATTTTCTCATTAAAGTCTGAAGGAAGAAATAAACCCTGTGTTTATTTTAATAAAATGTAGGCTAATCTAGGCAAAGCCAAACTTTAGTTTTTTAAATATAGATGCATACAGTAATACCATTGCATATGAACTGAGTATTACAATAAACCACACTAAAATATTTTAACCTTAACTGGTAATGTATTAATGCAAGAGTGAAATACTGGCTATGCTCCTTTTGATTTATTTATCAATAATGGATATTTATATCCTGAACACATAATGGATATTTGGAATCTGTTGTTAGATCTACAATAAATTGCATAAAGAGCATAATTTTTAACATATCTAATATATTCTAATCAGTTGATGCCTTGTAATGTAATGTATTAAATAGTTTTTATGCTGGTCCATCAACAGTTAATGTAATAATTGAAGACAAGTAAGGGGGCGCTATAGAGTGGAGACAAAGTGACACACTTTTCCAGAACAATGAAGTGGTGGGGACTGCAATATTCTGTGTGACCCCCAGGGGCGCATAGATACACAGTCACACAGAATATTCTCTTGAAAATGATCCCCAAGAGGACATTAGAGAAAATGCATGGGGTGTGTTCTAACACCATTTGGGAGGGGCTAGTGAGGCTTTGCCCGTGGGGACCTCAATTTAGGTCCCCACGGTGACATGAGTCCCCATGAGGCGGTGTGCATTCAGGTTTAAGTCCCCACCGGGATATAAAAACAAGAACACACACACACACAGCTGCTGTCTGCTCCTGCAGAGGATTCTGGGTAAATCTCTCATCAGTCTTCAGCTCAGTTTCACTGATGATCCAGGATAATAAAGCCTAAACCCAGGGCAGAGCGGCTCAGTGAATGTGGTCTGGACTGAGTGGATGAGGCTCATTGTGTCTCTATAGATGTTGTAGAAGATCAAAGTTCCTGCACTGTGATCCACAAACACTCCTATTCTCCTGCTGAGCGGCTTCACTGGGAGAACAGTGTGTGTGTCATTGTGTCTGAATATGAAACTGGAGGAAGAGCAGATCAAACTCCAGGACTGAGCATTACGTCCAAACACACACTCAGCACCTCCTCCCTTCCTCCTGATGCTCTTATATGACACTGATATAAACACATAATCTCCACTCCAGTCAATCTCCCAGTAACAGCGTCCACACACACTCTCTCTGCACAACACCTGACGATAATGATCAAATCTGTCTGGATGATCAGGATACGGCTGATTCTCTCTCACACTCTTCACCTCTCTGTTCTCCTCAGACAGAATGAGTCGAGTGTGTGCTGTGTTTGGATCCAGAGTGAGGAAACAGACATCTGAACACAAGAACACACACATTTACAACCACAGCTGTGTGTGTGTGTGTGTGTGTGTGTGTGTGTGTGTGTGTGTGTGTGTGTGTGTGTGTGTGTCTGATTGTGTGATCATGTACATGGGTGTGTGTGTGTTTGAGACAGTGTATAAGAGTGTGTGTGTGTAGTCCTACATTTGTGTAGTCCTGCTGTAATCCTCTTCTCTCCTCCATGATCCAGACTGTAAACACACACAGATTGACATTCAGTCAGTACACAAACATCAGCTTATAACACACACACACGCACGCACGCACGCACGCACGCACGCACGCACACACACACACACACACACACACACACACACACACAATAAGACATGTGGAGTGTGTGCTGAATGCTGGATTGTGATTGGCTGATCTCAGTGCATTAATAACTGCAGTAAAACAACATGAGTGTGTGTGGAGCTGTCAAATCAGCTTCTGAATGACACACAGAGCTTTTAGATCAGATGTGGAAACAGAAAACAGAATGGAAACACAGAAACAGACAGATATAAAGACTGAAGGATTCATTCAATGATCAATTGACAAAAGCGCAGCACAATAATAAAGCAGAATTCAGTGTTAAATGACTTGAAATATGATGGAGATCTTCATCTTCTGTCAAATGCCTCTTCATCATCTCCAAACATTGCTAAGTTGGAGAGCAGTGAATCCAGACCAATCTGCAGTCCTCCTCGCCCTTTGGAAGCTTCGTGGGTTTGTGTTCTGTTTATTGTTCATAATACTTCAGTTATAAAGGATTAGTTTAGGAGTTTTTTGTCATTTGCTTTATTTGAGTTTGTTCAACATGTGATTGTCACTGGACTATATCAGAACCAGCATCACTGTCTGCTGATCACTTTTATTGCCTGATATTTTGTGTTCATGTTAGTTTAGAAGCAGAAAAGAGCCAGATTACAAGATATGTGAGATATTTGCCAGAAACATCTTTGTTATGTCCACATTGTGAATGTAAATTTATATTGTTTATTTTCTTCCTGTTTATAGTTTTACTCCGCCCTTATTAAAGTGTGATAAAGGACATTCTGTGTCTGTGAAGTTCATGAGGGAGAGTTTAACTTGCTGTTAAAGTATACACAGGACGTATTTGGAGAACAGTACACACACATCTCTGACCTGATACTGTACAGTTCTTCAGCAGAAATGTAGAGAACAAGTTTCACTGCTCAACTACAATGCTGAAACTGTACAGTGTTAATATGAGATATAATATCACGCTTAATGTGAGAACTGCCCCAGTGCACTGACATATTTAACAGCTTTGATTCATATCTGGACACTAGAAGAGCAGTGAAGTATCAAAGTATCTGTATTCACAATAAAAAAGGCAGTGCTGCTCCACATACTTGAGTTTGTCCAGTGTGTAGTTTGGATCCTCCAGTTGTTCAGAGAGCAGCTTGACTCCTGAATCTCCTGGATGATTGTAGCTCAGATCCAGCTCTCTCAGGAGTGAGGGGTTTGAAGTCAGAGCTGAAGACAGAAAACCACAGCCTTCCTCTGTCACCATACAGCCAGACAATCTACAAACACAGCAATAGTCCACATCACACAGTTGGACAATCACACATCTCTTTGTGTTGTGAAGATGCTGACTGCTGTTTCTGCTCATGTCAACAGCAGTGATGAACACACACATCCTGATCAGCTCTCCTTAATGATCGAGCCCTCGCATCAGCAAACACACACACACACACACACACACACACTCAACAAGGACTCGACATCATCTGTAGAAGTGTACAGAGCATGACACATGTTACACATGTTATTATATATATTTTAGTTATTTTACTGTTGTTGGACCTGGTAAAGTTTTCAAACAGTGAACCGAGACTGCAACTATTAGTGAAATCTATATTAAAGCTCTTCAAATATGATTTAGATTTACAGTAATTGTTTTTCATGTTTAAATCTGATTTATTCTTGTGTTTAAAGCGTTTGTCATTCCTCTACTTCAGTGTCTCAGACTCATTCAGAAATGATTATTAAATGCTGGATTAATGCACAAGAGAGTTTGGCGAACACGTTTTACACCATTTCAAATATATATTATATGTGCGGCTGTATAAGTCACATACAGCGCTCAGCATAATGGAGGACAGCCCATTCTGAAAACCAAGACTTTCCTCCATTTCTCAGTCAATATAGGCAGTGTATTCTGCTGCATTTAAACAGAACACATTTGTTAAACTGATTTATTTATGAACATCATATTTTAGTCACCAAACATAATCAGAAATTGAAAGATAATACAATTAAATTCAGGCTAAAAACTGCAAAAAAAAACTACTAAATTTCAGCTAAATGTTTTATTGTTAATTTTGCTCTTTTTACATGTTGTATTTAATATTCTTCTATAGCACATAGATGTGGTTGTACTTGTTTTTGGACCGTTATCATGAGTTATTATGTTAGATGAGCTCCAGATTTGGCTAATCTATTGTATATGCACAAATATAATACTGTAGAGCTTCCTATTAAAATATGAATGTAAAAGAGAGATTAGTGAGGGGTGTACTTATATATGCTGAGCACTGTATATTGTTCACCCAGAGTGTTTACATGGTCACACAGCAGTAACACAACAAGCATTGAGTTTGGGCTAGCTTCTGCAGATGGACATTGCTGTACACTGCCCTTGATGGGTGAGTGGGGGAGTGTCTGTTGTATCTCAGGTGTGAATTATTCATGAGCATTGTCACTCACACATACAGCTGAGATCAATATTTCCCACATATTATTGTAGCTCAGTTTGTGCTGAACACAAATAAAACACATGTTGACCAGTTCTGTGTAATAAGTAGCTGAAATCAGCACAGATGTCAGGGCATGTTAAAACATCTCAGGGGTCCCAAAATCACCTCAGACCCCTGAGGGTTAACTACAGGTATAGTATGAGCAGTGTGAAACACAATTACTGATGAACCATAATTCCTGTTATCTGGGGTTTAGTATGACCCAGGGTTAACATGTTCAAGCATGAAGAGCTCAAATATGAAACTGTCTGACTGTAGTTATTGTAGAGTGGAGAATCATTTACCTCAGTGTGTCCAGTTTACAGTGTTGACTCTTCAGTCCATCAGAGAGAAGCTTCACTCCTGAATCCTGCAGGTCATTGTTACTCAGGTCCAGCTCTCTCAGCACACAGTTTGAGGATTGTAGAGCTGAAGACAAACTCTCACAAGAATCGGCAGTGAGTTTACATGTCATCAATCTGAGAAAGAGCCCACATTATTAAAAACACACTGTTAATGTGATCTGTCTGATGTAACAAAACAAAAAATCAATCAATCAATCAATCAATCAATCAGGTGTTTAAACTCAGACCTCAGTATCTCCAGTTTACAGTGTTGACTCTTCAGTCCATCAGAGAGAAGCTTCACTCCTGAATCCTGCAGGTCATTGTTACTCAGGTCCAGCTCTCTCAGCACACAGTTTGAGGATTGTAGAACTGAAGACAAACTCTCACAGGACCGAACAGTGAGTTTACAGCACTGTAGCCTGTGTAGAGGATAAACACAATATGTATATGTTGATCTGGAGTGTTTAATAGTCTGAAGCACATCTGACTGTACTGACTGGTTTAACTTCACTAATTAGTGAGCACATCTGCTGATTTTAGCTTTAAATATTATGTATGTCTATTGTTATGGCTCAGTATCTGTGCCTGTGTTTGTTTGTATTTTTTTTCTCTCTCCCTCCTTCTCTACCTATCATTTTCTTTAGGTCCGCCCAGCTCATCTACCTATTGGCCAAGCTAGATGCCAGTCAACATTACCATTTGCGATGACATCATCATTGTCCAATCACAAGCAGACTTCCCCACTTTAAAAGGAAGCCGGTGCAGTCGAAAGCTAGCTTGCTTTTGGTACCACAATTCAGAGAATCAGAAGTAGATTCATACTTTACTGCATTTGAGAGAATAGCTACTTCTTTGCACTGGCCTAAGGATGTTTGGTCATTGTTATTGCAATGTAAATTACTCGGTAAAGTTCAGGAGGTATGCTCAACTTTATCTTTAGAAGATAGTTTAAAGTATGATTGTGTGAAGTCTGCAATTGTAAGAGCTTATGAGCTAGTTCCAGAAGCTTACAGACAGCGTTTTAGAGGTTGTAGAAAGAATGGTACACAGACTTTTGTTGAATTTGCGTGAGAGAAAAGGCTACTATTTGATAAATGGTGCACAGCTAGCAAAGTGAATGATATGGAGTCACTGCAGGAACTAATATTGTTAGAGGAGTTTAAAAATTGCTTGCCCGACCGTGTTGTTGTGTACTTGAATGAACAGAAAGTTAATTCTCTTTCACATGCAGCTGTTTTGGTTGATGAGTTCATTTTAACACACAAGAATGTCTTTGCACCAGTACGTTCAGACAAATCACAAATTGCTCAATCTCAACCTAGTCGTTCTAAAAAGAGCACCGTTCCTGTGGAACGCCTGTTTTTATTGTCGAAAACAAGGTCATGTCATTTCCGATTGCTTGGTTTTAAAAAGAAAACAACAATCACAAGTTAAAAGTGTAGGGTTTTTAAACACTCACACTGCTTTTAAGATTCCTGACAATAACAAAAACAATGACATTGATGACAAGTACAAACCTTTCATTTTAGAAGGATTCATTTCCTTATCAGAAAATTGCGATGAAAGGGTGAAAGTGAAAATACTTAGGGACACTGGTGCGCTGCAGTGTTTTATTGTAGCAGACAAACAGTTATCTGGCAACACCTACTGTGGATCTAATGTAATAGTTCAAGGAATTGAGATGACTTGTATTACAGCACCGCTGCATCGTATACACTTAACAAGTGATTTATGTACAGGATTTGTTCGAGTTGCAGTTTGGTCGTCACTACCTGTAAAAGGCATTGACTTCATCCTTGGCAATGATTTGGCTGGAGGAAAGGTAACACCTGTGTTGGAGGTTCTAGATAAGCCAGATGTAAGTATCCAATTAGACTCCTGTTCAGATCCAGAAATTTTTCTCGCATGCGCAGTCACGCGCGCACAGTCACGCAAGATGAGAAATGTGGTTGAATTGGCTGATTCTTTTTTCTCTCCGTTTTTGGCTGGTGAAAATTTCACTATTGAGGATTCATTGAAAAATCAGGCAGGAAAGGCTGATGTTGATGTGACTGACAATAATCTGTTACAGTTACCCGTGTCTCTTGAGAGAATTACTATGGCTCAAAAAGAAGACCAGTCTCTTGTGTCACTTGTTAATGGTGCTGTATCAGGTGTTGAGAACAAAAAGGCAAAGAGTACATTTTTCATGGACAAAGAGTTATTGATGCGAAAATGGTCTCTGAGTGCGGATGATGATCTGGAGTGGGATGCAGTGTATCAAATTGCTGTTCCAACTCCTTACCGCCAGCATGTGTTATATCTTGCACATGATCATCAGTTTGCTGGTCATTTAGGGATCACAAAAACTTACGATAGGATTCTAAGGCACTTCTTTTGGCCTGGTTTAAAGAAAGATGTGGTGAAGTATTGTCGCGCTTGCCACACATGCCAAGTAGTAGGGAAGCCGAATCCAATAATTCCACCTGCACCCTTGATTCCTATTCCAGTAGTGAGTGAACCATTTCAGCACATACTTGTGGATTGTGTTGGACCGTTGCCTAAGACAAGGTCAGGTAATCAGTTTTTGCTTACAATAATGTGTGTTGCAACTAGATTTACAGAGGCTATACCTCTTAGAAAAATCACAGCACCTGTAATCATCAAAGCACTAATCAAGCTTTTCTACCTTTGGTTTACCTCAGGTTATCCAGACTGATCAGGGAACAAATTTTCTCTCCAAACTTTTTGAACAGACTTTACAGTCACTTGCGATCAAATATCGAGTGTCAAGTGCATACCATCCTGAAAGCCAGGGTGCACTTGAACGCTTCCATCAGACGTTAAAGTCTATGTTGCGAAAATACTGAGTACAAAGAAAGATTGGGAGGAAGGTGTTCCTCTGATGTTGTTTGCTACTCGAGAAACGGTACAAGAATCTTTTGGATTCAGTCCTGCAGAACTGGTTTTTGCTCATTAGGTAAGAGGTCCTTTAAAAGTCTTGAAAGAGCGAATGTAATCGGTTGATTCCAGTGCAAAAACGAACATACTAGATTATGTCAGTAATTTTCGTGAACGCTTACACACTGCGTGTACCCTTGCTAAAGATGCACTAACTACTGCACAGAAAGGCATGAAACGTAAATATGATAAGAAAGTGGTTGTACGATCATTCACTGCGGGTGATAAAGTGTTAGTACTCCTACCGGTGTCTGGCTCTTCACTTTCTGCACGTTTTTCAGGTCCCTACATAGTTCAAAAGAATATCAGCTAAACAGATTACATTATTCTTACGCCTGATCGGAAACGTAAAACTCGTGTGTGTCACATAAATATGCTTAAAGCGTATCATGCAAAAGAGACACTCGGAAAAGACTCGTCCGTGTCAAACACTGAACCTGCTGTTCCTACCATTACAGTCACGCAGTCATCTTTTGAAGAGAATCGGGATGCTGATGATGATGATGTAGTACTTCGTCACACTCAACAATGTGTGAGGCTGAAAAATTCTGACATTTTCAGTGATCTCAATTCATATCTGAAGCATCTGTCTTGTGACCAGAGAAAAGATATTATTGCTTTAATATTTGAATTCAATGGTGTGTTTCACGATGTTCCAACACAAACAAATGTGTTAAAACATGATATTGATGTGGGTACAGCCCATCCTATTAAGCAGCATGCTTATCGTTCAAACATAAATAAACGATCATTGATGTGCAAGGAAGTAAACTATTTGTTAGAAAATAATTTGGCAAAACCTAGCCATAGTCCGTGGAGTTCGGCATGTCTGTTAGTACCAAATACTGATGGTACATACAGATTTTGTACAGATTATAGAAAGGTTAACTCTGTTATTGTTGCGGATAGTTACCCGTTACCACGAATGGAAGATTGTGTAGACAATGTTGGTACAGCACGTTTTGTTACAAAATTGGACATGCTCAAAGGCTACTGGCAAATTCCTCTTACTGACAAAGCTTCAGATATTTCTGCATTTGTTACACCTGACTCGTTTGCACAATATACATCTATGACCTTTGGACTTCGAAATGCACCCGCAACATTTCAACATCTTGTAAACTTAGTTCTAGGTGATTTACCAAATTGTAGTGCTTACTTTGATGATGTGGTAGTCTATTCTATGACTTGGTGTGAACACATTTCGTTGTTAAAAGCAGTTTTTACAAGACTGTTAAAGGCATCTCTTACGTTGAACTTGGCCAAGTGCGAATTTGGTCAAGCCACAGTCACATATCTTGGAAAGGAGGCTGGACAGGGAAAAGTACGTCCAGTAGAAGCTAAAGTGGTTGCTATATCGCAATTTCCAGTTTCTACCACTCGCCGAGAACTGCGACGGTTAAGTCTTGAAGCTGCTACTAAAAAAGCTCTATCACCTCCACATATCAAGCATGATCGTGAAACTTGCAAATAGAGTCGATCCTTAGTGTGAAGAGATCTCACGGGTTGGTGTATATTAATCAGCTTAGAAATATACTCAGAGGCCATGGAGGGATTTATAAACATACAGCAGTACTTTGTACTGAATTGGCAGCCAGTGTAGAGAAACCAGTACAGGTGTAATGTGCCTTTTCTGTGCCTGTTAAAAGCCTGGCAGCTGAGTTCTCCAATCTCTCATATCAGCCAAACTATTAAACAAAGCCTGAAGAGAGGATTGATCCTCAGATCTTTTGGGGAAGTAGATTTGAGAGTCATCAGCATATAGATGGTAATTTATGCCATGCTTTTCAAAAAAAACTCCCATTGGAAATAAGTAAAGGGAAAACAAAACTGAACCCAACATCGAGCCCTGCAGAACCCCCACATTAATTGAATGACAGAAGAACAAGAGTTGCCCAAACTGACTGATTTAGTTCTATCCTTCAGATATGAAGAGAACCAGTCCAAGGCTAGACCCTGGATACCAGTGTGTTCTCTAAGCTGATCAATGAGGATGTCATGATCCACTGTATCAAAAGCAGCAGTGAGATCCAATAATAGAATAATCCAATAATAAAAGAACAGGGCTACCTGAACCAACCTCCAGCAAGACATCATTTGAAACCCACAATAGAGCGGACTCTGTGCTATGACCAGCTCTAAACTGACTGAAATATATCAAAAACGTAATTATTAAACATGAAATCATTCAGCTGTACAGACACAATCCTCTCTAAAACCTTTGAGATAAAAGGTCAGATATACAGGATCTGCTCTGGTTTACTGTCTAGTAGTCCCTGCCTTGGCTTTGTCCTCCTCCCTGTCCACCTGCTTGTCAGTTTCCCCCTCACCATCTGTCCTGTACTCTGTCATGGTTTCATTAACCTTCCTCTCCCCCATCACCCTTGTCCACTGTAACACCTTCAGCTGCTGAACTCTGAGGATTATCTGGAATCTTCTCCTAGAAGGGAGCTGTGTCACGGTCCTGGTTGTCCTGTCCTTGTACTGTTGTGTTGTCCTTGTGTTCTCTGTGTTCACCCCAGTTTTCACCATCTTACTTGCCCAGTTACTATTCACCCCCTTGCTAACTCACTAGTCTCTGTGTGTTTAAGCTGCTCTGTTTCAGTCATTATGTGTTGATCATAGTTTGCTGTATGTGTGTGTGTTTCTCTTGCTTGTGTTTTCTGCTCTTCAGCTCTGGCATTTTCTTTGTGTATGGATTATATTTAACATTAGAACTAAACCTAGATCCACCTCTTGCATTTGTTTTGCCTGCCTGCATGATTAGAAGAAGATAATAAAAAAGAGGGTGTCACAATGGTTCAGTGATTAGCACTTTCGCCTAACAACAAGAAGGTCGCTGGTTTGAGTCCCAGCTCCAGTTTACCCCACAGTGTGAAGACATTTGGTATAGGTGAATTGGGTGAACAAAACTGACCATAGTGTATGAGTGTGTGTCTGTGTCATTGTTACCTTATAATTATCAGCATAGATATGAGTCAAAATAGACAGAAAGGAGAAAACATCAGTGTGATCATTCCACTCCAGTCCAGAAAGGACTTCAAAGGTGCTGTATCATTTTATAGCTGACTTGTGTGCAATTTAGATGATAACAGCCATATCACACTGCAGCCCAAGACCGATTACTCCATGAAGCTAAGCAGGGCTGAGCCTGGCCAGTACCTGGCTGGGAGACCACATGGGAAAACTAGGTTGCTGTTGGAAGCGGTGTTATTTAGGCCAGCAGGGGGCACACATCCTGTGGTCTGTGTGAGTCCTAATGCCCTAGTAAAAGTGAAGGGGACACTACACTGTCAGTGGGCGCCGTCTTTCGGATGAGACATTAAACTGTGGTCCTGACTCTGTGTGGGCTTTAAAAATCCCATGGCACTTATTCGTAAAGAGCAGGGATGTAACCCCGGTGTCCTGGCCAAAGTCCCTCAATCGGCCCTTACGATCATGACCTCCCAATCATCGCCATGTCTTTTTATGACAGCTAAACACCATTAGCTATTGACCTGCATGGTAGGAAAAACAACTGGTGTGTAAGTCAATGGTTACAGGTTTCAGCTTTCTTCAAATTATCTTCTTTTATGTTCAACAGGAGAAAACAAAGTTTTAGAAAGGTTTATAACCATAAAGAGTGAGTAAGAATTAGTAAATTCACTTTTTGGGTAAACTATCCCTTAAACAACAACTGCCAAAACCTGAATCTGAATGTTATTTAAAAAACACTAAAACATTACATAATGAACAATTATTAATGTATTTTGCAGTTTAGTTGATATCAATATTGTTCATGTGCATTAACATGATGTCATGACTTCCCTCTCCCCAAACACTTGCACCAGCTCCTCCGGGTGGATCCTGAGGCATTCCCAGGCCAGCTGAGAGACATAGTCCCTCCAGCGTGTCCTGGGTCTTCGCCAAAGCCTCCTCCCGGTGGGACAGATGCCCGAGCCAACTCAGCTGACTTCTGCTGTTCAGTGTTTGAACTCTCAGCAGTGAAAAGTAAACCACACTGAACTGAACTAAACTGAACATCAACACAAAACTGAACTGACACTGTTTCAATTTACTATGATCTTCTATGTGAAGCTGCTTTGATGCAATCTACATTGTAAAAGTGCTATAGAAATAAAGATGAATTGAATTGTCGATGTGGAGGAGCAGTGGCTCTACTCTGAGTTCCTCCCATATGGCAGAGCTCCAGACCCTGTCTATAAGGGTGCGCCCTGCAACCCTGCAAAGCAAACTCATTTTGGCTGCTTGTATCCAAAATCTTGTCCTTTCGGTCATGACCTAAATCTCATGACCATTAACATAATATACTGTATTATTTAAATTCAGGAAATGTCTACTACTTAGATGAAAAAAAAAGAAGCACTTTGACTTACAGAGCTCTTTTGGAGGTTTTGATGACTGCTGATAGTCTGATGAGACACTCGTCTGATCTCTGGAATTTCTGAAGCTCAAACTCCTCCAGCTCCTCCTCTGAGGTCAACAACACAAAGACCAGAGCAGACCACTGGGCAGGTGAAAGGCGAGCAGATGACAGACTTCCACTACTGAGGTGAGACTGAATCTCTTTCAGCAGAGTTTGGTCGTTCAGTTCATTCAGACAGTAGAACAGATTGATGGATCTCTCTGGAGACAGATTCCCTTCAAGTTTCTGCTTGATGTAGGCTATTATTTTATTTTTGCTCTGGTCTCTGTCATCCTGCTGTGTCAACAGGCCTCGTAAGAGTTGTCGATTGGACTGGAGTGACAGACCGAGAAGGAAGCGAAGGTAAAGGTCCAGATGTCCATTCTCACTTTCCAGAGCCTTGTCCACTGCAGTTTTCAGCAAATCAATCATGGACTCATCTCTGCTTTTTTCTGCTTGTGTCTTGTCTCTGTCTAGAATCAGATGTTGATAAAGGGCTGCAATGAACTCCTGAATGCTCAAGTGAAGAAAGCAGTACATGGTACCAAGAATGATTCCCGTCTCCTCCTTAAAGATCTGGGTACACATGCCTGAGTACACCGATGCCTTATAGACGTCAATGCCACAGTCTTTCAGATCGCTCTCATAGAAGATCACATTGTTTCTTTCCAGCTGCTGGAAGGCCAGTTTCCCCAGTGAAAGGATGAGCTTTGGATCCCAGGAAGCATTTGCTGTGTTTTCTCCATCATACTTTCTTCTGCTCTGCTGGATCTGAAAGCGGAGAAAGTGTGTGTACATCTGTGTCAGAGTCTTGGGAGATTCCTGCAGTGTTTCAGCATGAGCCCTGTGTTTCAGTTTCAGTATGTTCTGGAGAACAGTGGCTGAAATCCAGCAGAAGACTGGGATGTGGCACATAATAAAGAGACTCTTTGACTGTTTAATGTGATCAATGATTTCTCTGGCCTGATTCTGATCTGTGAGTCTCTTTCTGAAGTACTCCTCCTTTTGGGCATCATTGAATCCTCTTATCTCTGTCAGCCGGTCGATACAGTCAGCAGGAATCTTACTGGCAGCTGCTGGTCTGCTGGTGATCCAGATGAGAGCAGAAGGAAGCAGATTTCCCTTGATGAGGTTCGTCAGGAGAACATCCAGAGAGACTGCTGAAGATACATCATGACACGTCTCATTACCAGCAAAGTTCAGAGGAAGACGACATTCATCCAATCCATCAAGGATGAACAGGACTTTGAATCGTGTGCTTCTTGTAAGGTTCAGTCCTTTAGTCTCTGGGAAAAACTGAGTTATGAGGTCTTTTAAACTTTGTCTTTCTTTCTCCTTTAAGTTCATCTCTCTGAATGGAAGAGGAAATATGAAGCTGATGTCTTGATTTTCTTTCCCTTCAGCCCAATCCAGAACAAACTTTTGCACAGAGACTGATTTCCCGATGCCAGCAACTCCTTTTGTCAGGACAGTTCTGATCTGCTCGTCTTGTTCAGCTGCTTCAAACAAATGTTTGCATTCAACCTGTATCTCTAGTGACTGATGACGTCTGGAAGCAGTTTCAATCTGTCTGATCTCATGTTCAGTGTTGACCTGTTCACTCGCACCCTGAGTGATATAGAGATCTGTGTAGATGTTATTCAGAAGTGTGGAGTCTCCTTGCTGAGCAATTCCTTCAAACACACTTTGATATTTCTTCTTCAGGCTACATTTAAGCTGATTATTGAAGAACAGCTCGCCTAAACACAGGAGCAAAGAAACAGAGAGATTTAGTCTTGACTTTTCCAGCTATATTTGTATGTGTCAGTCTGACAGATACCCATGAGTCTCTTACCCTGGAGAGTATCACCAGCTTGATCTTGCTTCATCTCTCTCAGGAAGAAGAGTGTGAGATCAAGAGCTGCTTCTGTGATTCTGCTTCTGTTCTCATTAAACTCCTTTACAAACTGTTTTCTGTCTTCTTCTTGTAAGATTTTCCTAAAGTTTTCCAGTTGATTCTTCAGAAATTTGATCATTTTGCTCTCAAGATTCTATGAGTGAAGAAAAGAGAAGATCAATATTTTAATAAAACATTCATTAACATACAGTTGTGCGTCCACAAACTACTCAATAAAGACAAAAAGACATTATAATATGAGTCTGTTGAACGCTTGATTCTGATTGGCTGATAAACTTTGTAAGGTGTTGATATTTTCAGATAAACACACAGCTAAAGCAGATTTTGAGCACATGACAGTTTCATATCTCTACACTGAATGATTCCAGTAACTTCACAGTCAAACATCACATCAAAACACAACAGAAAGCTTTGGATTTATGAGAAACTAGTTTCACACACAGGAAAAGATTGAGGACAAAAACCTGACAAATGTCTGGAACAGATTTCAATTATTACATTTTTATTTAAAAGAAGTCTAATACAGGGGTTTTCAAACTTTTTCAGCTGAGGGCCCCTTTGTGTAGGGCGAATTCTTTTGGGGACCCCCCAAAAATAAAAATGACGCCACCCCCTCAAATTAACAACTGTACTTAATTTTTTTTATTGTATTATTCAAAACATTTATATTATTATATATTATTCAATAAATTTATATTATTCATTATCTGGATTAATTTTTGTAAGATGTTAGTTGAGTTGACATGGTTTTAGTGCTTCAATCTATTGATCAAATCTTGATGCGCAGTACTCATTGTGGTCTGCTCTCACTGGATTATTCCATCAAGCCATATTTTGTGTACAAGTCGTCACATCATAATTTACTCAGGTCGACAATCCTGACTTACACTGATAAAAAAATAATTTCCTAAATGCAATCTAGAATTGGGTATTCAAGTTCAAAGAGCCACAAGTTTTACTTTGCATAATTTTAGAAGCTTTGCTGACTTTAAAATGTTCATACCAGTGTGTTCTATTAATAATAATACTGAACATTACATTTAAATTAGTTACACAAACAAATATGGGAAAAAGTGGAACAAAAATGCATTTATATTCAGAGTATTAAAATTTGATCAGGTATGTTGAGCTCCATTAAATACAGAGCACTAATACATTTTAATATTTAATAATTATTAGCCCTATAACATAATACAAATAGATACATTATAATTTTTAAAGGCTATAGTGGTTTTACTCAGTGTGTATACAATTTAGTTTTTTTAATCATCCAGTTATGAACCAATGTGAGTAAGAGATTCACTGCAGAGCTCATCCAGCTGTCATTAGTGTAACAGGAGTGAAACTGAGAACTCGCTGATGTGATGACAGCTCCATTCATTGTTATTGCAGCACTTTTTGCTTTACAATTTTAATATGTTTGTTTGCCATGCTGCAAAGAGGACTGTCTGATATTTGTACAATGCAAAGTGTAAAATCCTGTCGCGCTGTGGACGAGGTGCAATGTTGTGCCGTGTCTTTAAAATGCTATTTGTTCTCTATGAGTGAAGCCTGCGCAGAGAGGCGCGTACTCCGCAGCACCTCGGTTACTTAGGAACGCAAGCCATAAACAGGGTAGTGCTTTCAGCCACCGATAATGTTCTTATTGATCATGTATTTTAACTGAAATATAGTCAGTCAAACCTGAGCATTCATTTAGTTGTTTAGCGTAAAAGAGGTAAGCGTAAGTGCAAGGTAAACGCCGTCAGGTGCAGCAGACAAGCGCCAAAAATCACAGTCAGGAAGCGCCTGGCCAGAAGCGCTTATTCAATAAAAGTCCCCGTCCACGGAGGCGGGCCGCTGCGCTTCTTTTCCTGTGTCACGAAAGTGTCAACTGCATTTAAATGACATAAGTATAAAGCTTTATTTTTGCAGTACTTTTGAGCTCAAATTATAATAAAAATATATTAACCTTCAGAATGATGCGGGACACAAAATTCATCCATGTGGGCTCATTGATCTAAAATTTCTTTGCGGCCCCCCTAGCGCCATCTGGCGGCCCCCCAGGGACCCCAGTTTGAAAACCCCTGGTCTAATAGATGTTCAACAACAGCCCAAAACTAGACTAGTCATCAGATATGCAGCAGTGTGAATCTGTCTGATCTGTGTGTTTGATGACTAGTCTAGTTCTGGACTATAGTTAGATGTTTAGTAGATTTTAGGTGTATCAGCTTAAATTTAGCCTTTTTTGGTCTGGCTATCATTGTTTAGACATGTACTAAAAATAGCTGAATAATCCACTCTGGTCTGTTGAATTATTAGAAAATAATACATAATAAATGTGTAACGTGTGTGAACTATTCGCGAATAATTCAATGAACTGCAGTCAATTATTCCTCACTTGACAAATACTTTTTAATTCTTAACATCTTTAATTACATGAAAAATAACAGTTACAAATGAAATGTGTTGCTGAAGCAGGATCTTTTCCAGTAAACATTTTCTGTGTTATATTTACAGTTTAAATATGAATCTAAATGAGTTTTTCCTACCTGGAAGATCCACTGGAGATTGTCTGAATAAGAAACTAAATCTGCCACTAGGTGTCTGTAAATGAGTCAAAGTCATTGAGTCATTTGATTCATTCACACTACTGATTCATTCAGAAGTGATTCTCTTTACTGAATTTTTGGTTCACAATAATATGCCTGAAACAATCCATGTGTGATCAATAATGTAAAACACAAAATACCTTCGGGCAGATGATGGTGTTTTCTCTCCGAGGTATGGTGGAGGACCCATTGACCAGTCACTCTTCAGAGACACAGAGCTGGACACACGTGATCCTGATCTCACACTGAACACACAAACACACCAGAGGAATAAACTGCAGGACAAACTTCAGTCTCCTTAGTACACCTTGTATTAAGACTGACAGATGAGACAATTATTGAAAGTAACTCTTAGCTCAAGGTCAGGCTGATCAGGTCTGTTAAACAGATTAGACTTACAGTGCGTACAGAAAGTATTCAGACCCACTCTTTGTTCTGTTGTGGTCATTTGCTAAAATCATTTAAGTTCATTGTTTCCTCATTAATGTCCACACAGCAGCCCATACTGACAGAACAACACTGAACTGTAGACGTTTTTGCAGATTTATTAATAAAGAAAAGCTGAAATATCACATGGTTCAGACTCTTTGCTGTGAACTCAGCTGCTGTCCATTTCTTCTGATCCTCCTTGAGATGGTTCTTCACCTTCAGTTGAGTCCAGCTGTGTTTGATTACACTGATTGGACTTGATTAAAGCCACACACCTGTCTATATAAGAGCTTACAGCTCACAATGCATCTCAGAGCCAATGAGAATCATGAGGTCAGATGAACTGCCTGAAGAGCTCAGAGACTGATTTGAGGCAAGGCACAGATCTGGCCAAGGTTACAGAAACATTTCTGCTGCACTGAAGGTTCCTCAGAGCACAGTGGCCCCATAATCCTTTAATGGAAGATGTGTGGGACGACCAAACATTTTCCAGAACTGGCTAAACTGAGCTGTCAATAGATCTGTCAAATGCTCTGATCCACTGATTTACAACAAAATAAATGTAAAGGTATTGAAGCTTCATGAAGCAGCGCTCCAAAATCAGCCATCAGCTCTGTTTACTGGAGTACTCTTGTGGATTAGCGGTGTGTTACTCGTTCATGTACACTCAGAGCGTGTTTCGCTGGTTTGTGTTTAATCTTCTGTGTTTATTGTTAGCTGTCTGGATATTGGATTACTTTTTGTGGATTACCCTTGATTATGATTGATTACTCCTGTTTTGTCCCCTTGCCTGTATAAAAGTTACTCTGAATAAGAAACTAAAACCATCACTAGGTGTCTGTAAATGTCTAAATTCACCAAAAGTCATTGAGTCATTTGATTCATCCAAACAACTGATTCATTTACTAATGACTCTATTTTCTGGATTGTTGGTTCACAATAACATGTTCAATACAGTCCAAGTGTGTTCAATAATGAAAATCACTAAATACCTTTTGACTGATGATGGTGTTTTCTCTCTGAGGTCTGGAGGACGACCACCTTTAGACCAGTCACTCTTCAGAGACACAGAGCTGGACACACGTGATCCTGATCTCACACTGAACACACAAACACACCAGAGGAATAAACTGCAGGACAAACTTCAGTCTCCTTTACAAGAGTTTATCAGACAAATATGAGTTTGTTCAGTTTAATTCAGCACAAACTAATAGTTGACTGAAGATCTGTCTGTTGTAATGTTGAAATAATGGTGTAAAAACAGAGTCAATACCTGTGTTTCTCTGAGAGAGAGTCCTTTACTCGCTCCTCTGCCATACTGCAGCTAAAACACCAATGCAGACATTAGCAGAGCTTTCAGAAAACAATCAGCCGCTGACCATCACCTGGAGATGACAATATACTGAGATGAAGAACAGCACACTTTATAGCAATCAATGCTCACTTCACTAACAACACCGCACTCAAACAGACCACATGATGAGGGACAGAACTGTTATATAGTGTTTATTATTTCACATCATTCAAAGCACACGACATGATCCAGTCTAGGGCAAACCCAAAACATGTGACTCAAATTAGCTGGTTTCAAGCCACATATAAGGCAACTGCCACTTATTTTATAATCTGTGTATACCTGAAATGAGCAGATCTGCACAGATTTATCACCCTGCTGGAACTATCATCCCATCCACTAAAGACAAATTTGTGAATAACTAACCTGATATTTCTGTGTTTCTAAATGCACCCATGAACACAAATGACCTTGATGTAGCAGTATGGATGCTATCTTCACTAACACAACCAAATAATGTTGCCCTCATCAAATCAAGAGAGAATAAAACTACACCATGATATAACAATCACACTCACACACTAAAAACAGCAACTTGTACCCTTAAACGTAAGTTGAAAACACTAAATTAGAGGTCTGAAGAATTGCATACAAAGATAGTGTCTAGCTATAGGAGGGCTCTAAAATCTTATCTTAAGATTATTATCACTAGCCAATAAATGGTTGTTTTCTGAAGAAAATGTCTAATAACAAACTATTAGTGATGACTTTTTTCAGTGAAAACATCTTTTTAGTAGACATAAAATAGATGTTAAACTTTCGGCACTTCTCTTTTCACTTCTGCAGTGAGAAACCTCTTGACTGTGGTCGTGTCCTCAAGACAAAACCTAAACAACTGAAACTTAAAATATTTATATTGTTTCACTGAGCACAAGTTTGTTAATATAAATCAAGAAGATAAAAAGGTATTATTGGAAATAACCAAAATAGCCTTATTGGACCTGTAAAATAAAAATAGTATGTCAAGATAACCTCAGCTATAGCATATTAATAATATTATTATTTAGTTATTATGTACTAAAATGTCAGCTGACAACTAAGTGTTAAATACAGTGTAAGGAACATCCGCTTGTTTTTCAGCAGAGTTTCTTCCTGTTTAACTAGAAGGTCTGGTTTAACTTTACTTTTGAGTTTAAGACTCTCTATGCTAAGAGGTATATTTTCTACTGAATAATCTGAAATGATCAAGTCACCCTGATATAGAGCTCAAACATTTTCATGGGAATAATGTTTTTTTGACATAATGTTTAAATGACTGTTTTGACAGCGTATTTAATCAGTTAGAGGATTTGATCTTCAGGATCAGACATTTAAATCACACTCACACATATAAACCCTTCATCATCTCCACAAATCAGCGTAATGTAGAAGTGTTAAACTCACATGCAGAAGTACAGACGCTCTTGTGCAGCAGGAACACAATCTGAGCTCTTTCACTCTTTCACTTCACTAAAACACACCTGTGTGATCTACAGGTATATCCTGAAATATTACTGGCTCCACCGTGTGGCGGTGTGATTCATGAGATTCTCCTGACTGTGGGCAGCACACAAACCACTGGAGCTGAAAATATCTTAGTAGTTTCTCTGAGCAAAACTGTGTTCATAGAATATTTTTTAGAATAAAAAAGTATTTAAGATTAAATCTGAGATGTCTATAAAGAATATAGTGATTAGTTTTTCAGCATTCTTCAAATTATCTTCTTTTAGAAACCACTTGTGGCGATTTTTATTAGGTGAGCTTTCATATTTAAATTTCTAACATTCTATATCTTACAATGTTTATTGGATTTTGGAAATGATGTACACATTCATATTCTTGAAAAATATCTGCAAAGAGCATCTCTGACGTTATTGCCTTGAACATTCTCCTGTTCCTGAGGTCTTGCATCCTGTGATTGTTCTTCCTCTTCTCTTACATCATCTCTCCCATAGAATTCTTCATTGCGTACTTCACAGAAGTTGTGTAGCACACAACAAGCAGAGACTATACGACTAACAAGAGTAATGTGGGCCTCACATTGCTTTAGCAGACAACGCCAGCGTCCTTTCAGGCGCCCAAAAGCACGCTCTACAGTCATTCGAGCTTGACTTAAGCGGTGGTTAAATTTAATCTGTTCAGGTGTCACTCCTCTTCCCTCAGGATAAGGCTTCATCAGCCAGTGTGACAGAGGATAGGCAGAATCCCCTAAAAGAAAAAGTGGCACATCAATTGCCTCAAATGTTTCAGTCCAGGTCGGCAGAAGGGTGCCACTACTACCACCATCAAAGAGTGAAGAGAGACAAAAAACACGGGCATCATGAACTTTTCCTGGTTGCCCAACGTTAATGTCCCAAAATTTCATCTTGTTGTCAACCACAGCTTGCAAGACAATGGAGTAGTTTCCCTTTCGATTGTAATAGTCTGCAGGTGTGTTGGATGGAGCTTTAATGTTTATATGTGTTCCATCAATAGCTCCTGCTACTTGAGGGAATCCCCACCTGTCACGAAAGCCCTGCACAATCATTTTGAACTCTGCTGCAGAGGGTTTTTTGATGTATTGTGGCTTCATTATCACATTTATTGCAGTCACAACTTCTTGAGTGATGATGCAGCATGTGGACACCCCAACACCAAATAAATGTGAGATGGACCTATATTCAAGATTAGTTGCCAGTCTCCAAATACATATTGCCACACGAATTTCGACAGGAACTGGTTTTCTGTATCTAGTATTTTGCCGAGTTAGCCAGGGCCGGAGTGTGTCACACAGCAGAATAAAGGAGCTTCTTTCCATTCTGAGATTTTGCAGCCATTCGTGGTCCGTCCAAGTATTATTGATGTATTTCCACCAGTCACAACTACGTGGGAATAACCATATTGTCTTGCAAAAATAAACAACGAGAGAGAAAAAATATATGTAGACATTCTTGAAATATTTTTTTGGAATAGTAAAATTAAATTCATGACAGTTTAGGCACGTATTAATAGTACACTTCCAATAAACTATTTTACAATAAAAACCCACTCATAGAACATTCTGCATTTTTACATTTTCTAAATATTTAATTCTATGTTACATGATTATTTATTGGTTTAAGTCAACACTTAGCAATAAATAAAAACAAGACCATCGCGCGTGCTTTCTCTCTCACTCACTCATTCATACATGCATGTGTACGTATGAATGTGTGTGGAGGGAAATTACACATACCTGATGGATCTTTGGCGTCTGTGGGTTAGCAGCACGTAATCGCCATTCAAAATCACAGCCCGCCTTTTCAGTGTATAATGCCGCCTTACAGCTCTTCGTCGGAGAAGATGAATTTTAAAAAATGTTTTCTCGCCGAACCCTTGACTCCTGCTCAAAATTATGAATCAATATAACAACAGCAACAAAAAAAGCAACAACAAGCTCGCAGATATGATGTGTTTCCATCGAATATCCAATGAATAATTGCTACATTGTATCAATTGTAATCGCTGTTTCGGAACAACTGAATCGATTCACAGATGTGAAAGTGTAACGGAGGCCAGCTAGTGTGTGCTGTGCAGGTAAACCGCACTCCTCTGACCTCTAAAGGTGCTCTAGCGACAGACGCTAGAGGCCATGGTCTTTAGCCTCCTTGGTAGAGCAACCGACTCCCATGCGGAAAGTCGCTGGCTCAATCCCAGCTCGGAGCTGGTTGGGTGGCGTAGGACCAGTGGGGTTACATTGGTGCCGTGACCCGGATGGGAGTGAGGTTTAGGGGGGTGAGTGTAACGGAGGCCAGCTAGTGTGTGCTGTGCAGGTAAACCTCACTCCTCTGACCTCTAAAGGTGCTCTAGCGACAGATGCTAGAGGTCATGGTCTTTAGCCCCCTTGGTAGTCAACCGACTCCCATGCGGAAAGTTGCCGGTACTGTCTATCGGTAATAAAACAAAGTATTTGATTTTTGTCATCTATAGTTCATTTTGTAAACATCGTCAGCACCTATTTGTATTTTCACTGCCGTTATTTTATGTCTAATTCTAAAAATTCATGTTCAACACTACTTTGAGACACTGTTCACAGCTAAAGAATGATTTTTTTTTTGCTAATATAAGAGCAGTTAAAACAGGCCGGGAACACTAAAGGGGTAAGATATAAACAAGACAGGAGGGTTAAAGATTTTATCCATATGTTTTTAATTATTAAAAAAAATAGCATTTGGTGAGATGAATAAATATATGACAATGCAAGATCAATGAAAAGTCTAGCATTTATTAGATTTTTATCTAATATATATATATATATATATATATATATATATATATATGTATATATATATATATATATATATATATATATATATATATATAGTTATATTAGTAACTGAACATGAGCATACATGACTTGAGACATGACGATTCAGCTACCTGCGCTGAAATCATAGTAATTATTTTAAATTTCATTTCATTTAGAGTGCGTATCATTGTGTTCTGTGGTGGGAATGGGATAATCCTGTCAGACAAGCTTTAAGGGTTTATTTATTTATTTATAAATATTCTGTGCCATATTATGCATCGGGGACTCAAATGGCACTGAATAGTAGAAATGACCCAGTTGGGTTTAGGCATTGGGTAAGATTAGGAATGTAGAATGAGATCACACTTCATAAGCCCTAATCAAGTGTTAATATTTTCAGAATTGGCAGGTAATAAGCCAGTATTTAATAGTGTAAACTGTTACTTAAACTAAAGTGTCAAATGAATTGAGAAGGAGCCGTAATGAAGACTATTTGAGTTCATCTGTCTGACTGATGTTTTGCTGCATTTTCCAGTGTTTTATCTCTAATAAAGAGCGGGACATTGAGCTGCTGTCGTGTGTCATTAAAGTTGAGTTTTCATCTGTGTTTTCTGCTAAAGGAACTGCTGAGAAACATTAAGAAACCTGTCGAGGAATGCACAGCACTTACAAAACAGGTTTATTTGGAGGACTGCCTCCTTCCACAGAATACTTGATCCTGAAGCAGTGAAACTGCACACTTATGAAGACACAAACATCACAGTATGTGTAGAGTATATTCAGTGAAATCAGCTGGAGAAAGTCTTTTATTGAGTCCAGCTGCTGTGAATGATATCAGGATCACACGACTTAACTGGGGCTAAAATTCACTCATTGTGACTTGTGTTACTGAGATTATAACAAGTACAATATAAAGCACATTTGGAAAAGTGATCTGTTGTATCACAGCGACTGCTTTACTTTTGTACCGTCAACACTGCTATTACCAGCTGAGCAAAGCCTCCATTGCTATCTTCTATTCTTATCTATTTGTGTGTCTGTGTTTTTTTTTATCTGACTGCTTATTTTCTCATGTCTCAAACAGGATGTGACGTGTTTTCCAGAGGTGAAAGAATTTTCAGATGTGTTGTTCAGCTCAACAGTTCAGCGGAGAAATAGACAGATCTGCAGGCATTATTTGAGGTGAGAGTTTGCTCTTTCTGTGCTTTATATCATCTATGAGTGTCGTCTGATTATCTGTCGATCATCTCTTTGTGTTTCTGAGACTTTACTGCTGAGCTGAAGACATTCTGAGGATTTTATTTACACCTTTTAAAGTCGAGTGTGTTTCTGGAAGAGGATCACTGAAAGCAAAAACCTTCTCATCCTGATACTGAAATCTGACTTTATGAGTGTTTATTAAGCTCAGCACAGTGGACATTTCTTTAGTTAAATCGTTTTAGTCGTTTGAAATGCAGTGACACACAATCAAATAATTCACCGAACAGATCAGCCACTTTTGACAAGATTCAGAGCACTGGAGCTTCTCAAACGTACAGGGAAACAGGCCTGGCACAGTTCGGATAGCATAGTGTGTGTGTGCCCTTACAGAAGCTCTTAAATGCAGAAAACTCGCACTGCAATAACAGTATTAATGAAGGCATTTAGTTTATTTACAGTGGAATCACACAATCTAATGTGTTGATACATGAGCTGAAAACCCTGAAGAGTTTCAGCAGTCAGACCGGTTTCATTTGTTTGCCTGAAGTGTTTCTGCTTTAACTGATTCTGATGATAAACAACTGCTGTGGCTATAACTGTCACCTGTTTTACATTGTTTTAACACTTTTTTTTGTCTAAATACTATTAAACCTGTACATTTTAGAGATCGTGACATTTCTCAAAACTAAAGCAGAAAACAAACAAAATCTCCTCTAAAATAAGGAAAATCATTTTCAATAGTACATTCATTAATTTACTTATTTTCAGCTTAGTCCTTTTATTAATCAGGTTGATGATAAATTGCCCTGAGAAAAGTTTGGACTCTTTTGACTTTGTAAGGGAGGAACACTCAAAAAATTTATATGTTGGCTATAATTAACTTTGTGTCAACAGGTTCCACGTAACAGAGTTAAGTTACCTTAAAGAAAGAATATTTATTTGAGTGAACTTAAGTTCGTTACATAAAGGTAAGGTAATGTTGTTTAGTTCAATTAACACAACATTTATAATTTAGTTTTAATTTATTGACACTGCCAAAAAAATAAATAAATCAGTTAAATTTACTGAAAAATACCGGCAGTGGTTGCCAGGAATTTTCTGTAAAAATACAGAAGTTTTATAGGACTGTTTAAATTTACAAAAAAATAACCATATTTTATCAACTGATACAATGCTTAGTTCACAAAAGCCTAGTTTAGCTCACAAAAACGTGAAGTCATTCAACGTACTAATGTGTTCATGTATGTATAATTAGCAAACAGATTTTCACTGCATTAGTAACTACACAGTTACTTTTAAACAAAAAAAGATGCAGCGCAACATTATCTAACCTTAGTTCATATTGGACTTGCACAGAGATGCTACCATGGTACATAAATGTAATCTTTAGATCAACATAACATTTATAATTTAGATTTCATTTATTTACACTGTTAAAAATTCTGTTCATTTTACGGAAAAATACCGGCAGCTGTTGCCAGTAATCTACGGTACATTTGTAAATCCATATTCATATACATATACATCAAATACATTCCACAGTCTGTATTTTTCATCAAACACATTTAACCCCTTAAATCCCAGAGCGAAATCCTTAATAGTGGAATCTGTATAGCATGAAAGCCAAGAAATATATAAGAATCAGTCTGATGAAATTAGCTACGATATTAAAACCTCCTTCACCTGCTTGTTTATTTGTTGTAAATCTTGTTAGCTTGGTGTAAGATATGATCAATATATGTAAATGAAACAACTGGAGCATCAGCCCTAAATACACCATTCACTATGAGAATGTTTGAACTATGGAAGGAATGAGAAACACACAGACATCAACAATTAGTCTTTGAATTTCAACAATGGTGACAAACCAAAAATAAAAATCTGATTAAAAAAACAACGCAGAACTATAAAAATACTGTACTGAAATATTACACTCAAAAAACAACATACACTAAAGGCAGAGAAACGAAAGTGTAAGAACTTTAAGCTGCATAATATATTCATGCTGCAATGCATGCTGGGAGTTTTGTACTAGGCTGGCACCCAGCATGCATTGCAGT